TTAGTCATTAAGAAAGTGAAAAGAACTTCAGTTTCGAGTTGTAGCATCTGTAAGAAGCGTCAAAGTGATCTTATTTCTTTAAGTACAGTCTCTAAGAGAAGTTTATTTATCACCTGACACGACAAAAATTTGTCGACGAGAAAGTGAACTTCACTATTTCATGGAACTGTAATTTCTTCTCAATTCAATAATTTCTTATTGAGAAAGGATATAGATTGATATCGTATATACTTATTCATCCATAAACTTTGGTGTATAATGGACCGACTTATTACAGTACTTTGACGATGAGGAAGAAAAAGTCTTGATCTATCAATGGTAAGGTAAACTTGAAACTTGGCAATTAAATTTATTGCCAAGAAAGTGCACAAAAAGCCTTTTTCAGTTGGACAACACGTATCGTTAATTACGCCCGCTTCGAATCGAAATTCTACGCCAATTCGAAAATGAATAATACTTCAGTAATGCCTGACTGTCAGCTAACGCTAAGGACMTATCTAATACAGCAAGATCGTTCGTCTCACTACGAAAACTTCCTCGTCTTTTCCATCGTCCTAAACAGCATCATAGCTGTTGTAGCCTCTACAAGYAACGCCATTGTCATTTACACAATATCAACGAATCCCTCGCTAAGAAACCCTTCGAATATTCTAATCCTCAGCCTAGCGTCGTCTGACCTTGGAGTCAGTGTTCTATCCCAGTCATTCTATTGCCTTCTTCTTGTGGCTGAACTCAAGCGCAACATGGTACTCATTTGCCATGCGTCGACTGGCAATTTTGTAACCGTATGGGCCTTTGTCTTTATYTCCTGTCTAACTCTTGTRCTTATTTCSGCGGATCGYTATCTAGCGCTTCGTCTACATTTAAGATACAAAGAATTGATCACAACTCGTCGGTACATCGTAGTGCTTATCATGATTTGGGTTTCAGGCTTTGGAGTTGGCGCTCTGAGAAACTACGCACCTTCAGTGCACGGACTGGTCAACATTGCTTTTGGAATTTTTGCTGCTGGTTTCGTTTTCCTGGTAATGGTAAATGCATTTTTCATTGCGAAAATTGGAAGACTTATTCGTAGACATTCCAAGCAGATTCGAGCTCAAAAAGTTAATATGCCTCATGGACAACGCCTTAAAAGATCTGTGTATACCATCTACTATGTGATCGGGTCGTTTGTCTTATGTTACGTTCCTTACTTTGTTCTGTTAGCAATCTCAAGGATATCTGAACTCAAACGTTCAGAGAAAGTGGCTTATTACTATACCATGGCAGAGACCATTGTGATGTTAAATGGTGTCCTCAATCCAGTGATTTATTGCTGGAGAATCGGAGAGCTTCGTCAGGCTGCGCTTCAAACTTTAAAGAAGTTGTACAGCTGCAGAAACTTATAGAGAGATTGAATTAAGCGCATGAGGACGGGAAAGTCGAAAAAGTAATTTCTACCTCAAAGCTGTAAAGATTGTGAGAAAAAAAGTTATAAAAACGAAAGCTAGATGAGCAGCACACGGTTCTTCAGCATTACAGTAGACTGAAACAGATTGAATTTAGTAATAAATATATGTGAAATACCAGGGGCGTGTTGAGGGGGAGATCCTGCTTTGTTTTAAGGTTTCAAGACGTCTGTGAAGAAGTCGGCGATTGACTGCAAAATTGCAGACACACCAGTATTGTTTTCGATTACACCGAAAATTGTCTGGCTTCGTGACCGTGCTGTGTTGTGACTTTTGCACAGCCATGCAGCCTACTCTTTTGTCGGGCTTCCTGTCCATTTTTTTCGAAATTCAGATTCAATCACCTTTAAGAAAGCCCAAATATTTTTTGAAGCTTATTAACGAAGAAATTCCAATACCACTATTGCAACCATGGCAAACTATTAAAATTCATATTATGAGATCAAATTAAGCAAAAGTAACATAGGAGCCACACTATACAGGGATGATAAGATGGAAGCCCGAGTTAAGGTGAATTAAAAAATTGTATCAAATTAAGAAGGAGAAGAAGAGGATCGCTGGAAACGTAATATAGAGTCGAATTCAAAAAACATAACACAAAACTTTATTTTGACATCCTCTTTCATACAAAAGCATTGGCGTGGAAGAACGTTGTTTATCCATGTAATTAAATTTTATTCTAAAACTGAAGCGAATTAAATTGAAAGGTATGCGGGAATTAGCTTAGTGAAAATGAAGACAGATTTGATCACATCTTCTCGAGGATATGATCATTATCGTCGAATTGTCATTGAAATACAAGAATACATTATTAGTTTACAGCATGGTATACTTAATTTACTGTTCCCTTTTTTATTAAAAATTATTCCATTGTTTTATTTTTCACTAACGAATAATTACAAACGTATGATATCTAAAGCGCGTCGSCGCTCAAAATTTGATGAAATCAGACGCGAGCACTACAAGAAGCGTAGATGCGAAAGCGTTGTGGATTAACAAACGTAGATGTAGATAAGTCAAGTCATAAGAAGGACAAGCAAACTTTATCCAAAACCTCTTAAAAATAGCAACTAGAAAGCAAAATAATATATTATAYACGTAATAAAGCACTTTTTGTGATTATAAAAGAGCGAACAGTTGTTTTTATTAACATAAAAATGAACAAGAGCAGCTGACAATGTATAGAAATTTGTCACCAATCCAGTATTCTGATTGGCTATTGGAGCTGTGGTCTATTCACGATAGACGGCATAGTCAAAATCGAGAAATGTGAAAAAGCTGCATGGACAAAACAACAGAGGTAACGACACCCTGAAAAACTAATTGAAAACCAAACGTGAAAGATCTCCTCGTGAATTCTTTCCTCGCGTAGGAAAGAACTACAGACCGACTCTCGCCTTACGGACACCCCGCTACAACGGACACCTCGTTATTACGGACAGTAAAATACTGAATCCCTGGCGAAAAATGCAAAGAAATGACTGAAAGTAATTCTCGTTACTACGGACTCTCGCTAATGCGGACACTACTATTACAGTCCCGAGGGTGTCCGTAATAGCGAGAATTGACTATATGCGCAGACATGAATATTGAATAAAACGTCTTTTTTACYACATAAAAGGACCTTATTACTCAATAGCAACTTTGGATTGGCCTAGAAATAATTATCACAAAAAGTTATCACCTAAATATGAAAGATACTGCCTGTGTTCACACTGTTAGACAGGTTCAACGCACACTTTGACACACCGGACGTCGTAATACAATAACATTTTAATATTGACGACAGAACGGGAAAAAACTGATAAAGCGGCGGTCAACCAAAGAAAACAATAAAACTTATCCATTCAATTCTACTATTTTTGTATTTCCACTGAGGTTTTGAGATCGCTATCTTTTAACCAATTACATAAAGGCGCCACGCTGAGAACAAAGCATCACGGGTACTATAAATTCCCGCTGACCTACATATGTTAGTATCAGTTGTAAATCTTATTATGAGGTAATGTGTCGAGTAAATAATCGTCTGCTGTAGTGATTTGAGAATCGTTCTAAAGCTTGAGCTTACACAGCCTGGATGATGATTAGTTTGTTGGGATTTTGATGCAATATTGAAAAAGTAGCGTTATTTTAACCGTTATTACCGTTCGAATGTTCGATCGCACGTGACAACGATGTTCGGTCGAATGTTTGTAAACAAGTTGCCACTTTTGTTGATGTTGGTAGTCGTAGGGRTTTTAGAAATTCAGATTTTGAGGATATCAGAGACTGGAATACAAAGAAAGCACCAAAGAATTGAAAACACAGGTAAGAGAAGTGAATTATTAGCTCGATTGTATTCTTATGAATCAATGCCAATCGGTAAAACGGTCCAATATTGAAGTCATGTTGTGTGCTAATATTTTCCTTTACGATTATCAAAGGCAGTTATTCTAAAAGTTATCTTAGCTCCATATGCTTTTTTGCACGTTTTTTATAAATCTGTCAGAATATCCCCCGAGGGTTGAGAGATGCTTCTTGAACTGCTTCAAAGGTTACCACGCGTATCAATGCATGAACAGAACAGACCCGAACAACACGGTTTATATTGACAGAACACCTCATTCTTGCGCATTATTTTTAAGTTAATAATTAAAACGTACAGTCTACTTTGCACGTTTTAGGAAAATCGAAATCAGTTTTTAGYCGTGAAGAATTATTTCAGATATCAGCTGAAGTGTCAGCTTGTTCATGGCCAAATATACTTTGAAAAGACTTTATAGGTTTGGGGGTTTCAGTGAAACGTTGTTGGCACACCTATTATTAAACGTTAWCCAATCTTTTCCGACACTTAATTTAATTTGGAGTGAAGGATGACTAGCAAATTACATGTRCATATGTCGCCAAATAAAATCCAGTCTGTCTATTAGATGTTTGGCAACCGAGCCGACCGGAACTCTCCGCAAATATTTGATAGAGAAATTGAAACATCAAAGCAGTTGGCAGCAGTTGTAGACTTTCAGTCTTCAACTATCTTAAAATTATAAAATAAAGCTACATTTCTTCATAATTAAGTAATTGAAGTCTGAATGTCTGAGTGGCATAAAAAAACTATGCTTGTTATGTATATATTACAAGGCTCAATCTAAAAGTCTGTTTAAATGAAAAGAACTAACATAGGCATGTAAGATGCTAATGTTTTTTTTCACACAAGCAGTTTTAATTAAATCAATGAAGTGTATACCACCCTCTGTTTACGATGATTTAGTAATTAAGCTTCCATTATACCCTCACATTTCATATAAAAACAGATTAACATAAACCTTTGATTGATTGCTGTTTACTTTAGCTTAACATAACAACAGTTGCTCTATACACTAGTGGTCTTTCATGGGATTTTGAGGGGTTTATCTTATTCTGAGGTTAAAATGTGATAACATGCCAGTAAGGTGATATTTCTGTAAGATACCAAAAGGCTTTTAACTGTCATTTTTATCAAGGAGCCTCTTTCCACCATCTGATAAGAAAATACATGGAATTTCTACTTATGAAAGTAGCTGAATATATGTATGTGTCTTTTGGCAAAATAATGAAAAAAATATTAAAATGTAAATAATATGGAATGAGTTTTGGTCTATTCTAGTAAGTCTGAATACAGTACTTTCTCAAATGATGAAAATATCTTTGCGAATACCTTGATTGTTTTGTTTTGTTCTTAATTCAAGTTATTCACTGCAGAAATGTTTTTGTTTTGAGGAAATGGGAAAAGATCCAACAGATGCATCTTATCAATTTCCCTAAAATAAGTGGTTAGAAATAACAGCTTTATTGAGGAGTATATAATTATGTGGTTTCTTGGATCAGGTAATTCAGACACTTTTTTGGGGATTTTTATATTCTTGATTAAAGATTTTCACTTTGCTAACTTTACAAAATGTAATGAACAAAAAATAAATAAAAAAATGAATTTTTGGATTTTTTTTTTGTAATAAAAATTAGAACAAGGGCTTTCAAACAATTTATGTTGCAGATTTGAATGCCAATGTACCCTTTTTTACTTCWCTCTTTCCATTATCTTTGCGACAGAACTACTTCTTGGACTTTTTTGTACCTTGATAAAATGTTTTCTTTTCAACCTAACTACAGTATGGTATTTATAGTGGCTACTTGGCCATGATCACCCATACAGAACCATTTACAGTGTAATTAAGGACAGTACAAGGACTAATAGCTGCAAATTGAATACTATCTTACAATAACAAGCACATTTTGTTCTACAAAGTGAAATCATTAAACGTGTGAAACAAAATGTAGATGTAATAGCCTACTAGACAAAGGAAAACAATAATCCAGTTTCGAATTCTCCAATGCTCTGTGTTAGCCTCATTTGTGCGCAAAATATTCCTAATTGTGAGAATARAAGTGCRAGATTTCAAATSAATTSYATTGTTTTTYTTTTCAAATTCCATGCGTTTTCTCGGGCTATCAATGAAACAAAAGAATATGTTGCTTGGTTTTGAGGCTAACACAGAGCAAACCAGAACTCGAAATTGGAGTATTGAAATAGCATTAAGTGAATGTATACTAAAAGTGTCTACTTTTCAGTGGTTTATGGAAACCATTTRATGAAGATTGCTGTAAGATTAAAAGTGAATCTAAATAGTACTATAATCATTTGGTAGAGTACAAACACAACCATGAAAGAGTTTTACATGTAATTACTACATTCTATAGTGCTGAATTTGGCTGAATTGTGTGAATTCCTCTTTTTTATTGTCTTAKTTAGGACTTTCATGCTTTTAGGAGTGTTTAAACTCTATTCTTTGCTGATAGAAGTATTTTACAGGATACTTGCTCTACCAATAGACTTTGGGCTCTCAAAACAAGTTAGAGAAAATGATAGGGAATACTATATTTTGATTGATTAAAAGAGTAAAGTCTAGGGCTATTGTTTATACTACAGCAGTCCTTTTAGCTACCTAGTGCCTGCTATACAAAGGGTAAATAGAGCTATCTTATCAAGTGGATTTATAAAATCATTCCATACAAATCTATAGTCAGAAATAGAGTGGATGGCTTTATCTGGTGGATRACTTATTCTCCCTTCATAAAACAGGCCCCTGGGGGGTAGAGTAAGTTGTTAATGGCCTTTTAATCATATTTCCATTGCCAATAATTTAAGGAATTGCATACTTTAAATAACGCTCTCAGTATGGTRCTATTAGCACATTACCAGCAATTAAGGAAGCACAGGCTGGGCTAATTTATGATACATCTTGTAGTTATTAGCTTAGTGGAATAAAAAAACCTGTGAAATATGATACATATGAATGTGAAAGTATTATCTCAAATTGTCTTTGAATGCGATTATTGTACTTTTTTTCTTTTAATATAATTTTTTTCGTGGCCTTAATACTTTTTAGCCTTTGAGAATTGTCATTTTGTATTATGCTGTTTTTCTTTCACAAATTGCCTACATTAACGTTATGAACAGCATGCTTCACATAACTGTAGATTTCTTCTTAGTATAGCTAAGAAATAGGTTCTGTGAATTTGTTAATGGCCGCATAGGCTGAAAGCTTGGCGTATTAAATCATCATGTAAATGCAGAGGATTCATTTATTTTAGTAATTATGCCGGTGTACAAAGAAATTGTAAACATTKTGTCAGTCATGTTTAATTTGTGCTTGTATATATTGGACTGGTTTGTGTTAAATATTGGAAGGCTGCTCAGAAAAGTACACTCTATTCAAATTATTGTATTTGATATATATTGACAATAACTTTATATTGTAAATACTTTTTGGGACCCCTGTACTGCCTATAAGATATAGGTTCATGCGCTCTTGTGGGTTTCCCCATTTTACAGATGTAAAATTTAAGTTTAAATAGTTCTACATAATAAAATTCACTGGCTTATTGTAATCAGGCACCAATGAAAAYCTGCTGATAGTTTTAATAAACTCTTTAAGGTCTTTGTTTGTCAATGTCTGATATCCCATCATCAAATTAGAATTTATCAGACAACATCCTTCCTCAATTATTTTGYCATGAGTGTGTTCGCGAAAGATTCTTCTGGTTTGACCTGTGTCAGCAGGCGTGCTTCAAAGTCTGGATATAATTGTGTAACACTGCTCATTTCCAGATAATCCGTTAATCATATTTTGTCATGCTTTGAGGCGTATCTTTTTTTAAATCTTTTTTTTTGTGTCCGACAGCATGACTCAGCTTGTGTTTAACTGACTGCATAATTGACTTTTCTAAAAACCAAAATCATTTCTTACATTCAAGAGGATCTCCATGTTTAACAAAAGGAAGGCATGTTCTGAATTCAGAGCAATTTTTTTTAAGTTAAGAATAAGCTCAAAATCAAATATTATGATAACTTATAAGAATTAAGAACTTAAGTAACATAAAATTGTAGCATTTAACTAAAGTTGATGTGAATTTTTGTGTTGTTTATTTTCAGTTTTTCCCAAACATCCAATARTTGATGAAGAGAAAGAGGAAAATACTGATGAAGTTGCCGAAAATGATGATGAATTACAGTCAGATAAGGTACTTACTTATTTATAAATAAGCTTACATGTAGCTTAAGTTTTTGGAACTAAACTTACTTCATTTTGAACAAGCAGTTTTATCTTGAAGCCTCTTAATTATTTTCTGTACTAAGACTCGATACTAGCACGATTGTGATAGAGTGTTTGATATATTTTACCTTATAAAATGTCTTTGAAGCTTCTCTTAAGTAAGTTTATCCAGTTTTGGTAAAGGTAAGCTTATTTTGAAATTGGCGCGCTTTTTGTCCGCTCGCGTCAAATTAAGCTCATTTTTCCCGCCAAAGATAATATGCACTTGTACAATATGAATTTATCTTCAATTATCATAAAAATGTACAATGTTTAAAAAATATGACGATAAATTCCAATACCTTCTGTCCCTTCGTTTCTTCACAGAATCCATTTGATGATCATTCTCCTTTTGAAAAAGCGGTCGTGTTCTACAACAGGGTTCCCAAGACAGCAAGCACTAGTTTTATGGGTGTAGTCTATGGCTTATGCGAGCARAACAATTTTCACTCGATCCATCTAAATATCAGTAAAGGTCAACATGTTTTGTCTGTTGCCGACCAATTCCGTCTTGCTTACAACATAACAAGTTGGAAAAGCCATTTACCAGCTCTTTATCACGGCCACATCCAGTACATCAACTTTCAAAGACTCGGAATTTCTTCTCAGAAGATATTTTATATTAATATTATTAGAAGACCCTTGGATAGGCTAGTATCGTACTATTATTTCTTAAGATTTGGAGATACTTTTAGACCCCACAAAGTCCGTTCAAGACAGGGTGACAAAGAGGTACGAAATTTCTGTTTTCTTCGTTGTAGCACTACTCGCCGCTAGCCACAAAATTCAATTTCTCTTTGAATTATATTGTTTTATTAAAACCATTTTTTGCCGTAGACGTTTGACGAATGTGTGGAAAAAGGACACAGAGATTGTAAACCTGAAAAACTCTGGATTCAGATTCCGTTCTTTTGCGGYCATGCACCGCAATGCCAGTAAGTTACAATAATCTCGATGTTTTGGCGCAACTTCACTGCGAAAATCGCCGTTTTTCGCGCGCTACAAATGTAGATCGCGCGCTACTTGGATTCTGTTATGTAAGGTTTGTACTCATGATTAATCTAGGACTATTTCTGATATGATCCAACAGGTCTCCAGGCAATAGATGGGCGTTGGAGCGAGCTAAACGACATCTTGTAGAAAATTACCTACTAGTTGGTCTTACGGAGGAGTTGAGCGAYTTTATAGAAGTTTTGGAAACAATAGTGCCCCGTTTTTTCAAAGGAGCKACCAAATTATTTGTCGAGGGTAAGACTTTTTTTATATTTCACGAGACTTTTGCTGTATGTTTCGAGGAATGTGTAAAAACGCGAGAAAAGAACTTTGACTTTTGATTTTTTCCAAAGGCAAAGTAAAAGAGCAAATCCCATTTTCACATTTCACTTCCCATTTTTCCCCGTTTTTTCTTCCCATTTTTTAAAATCCTTTTCTCTTCCAGGAGATAAATCCCATTTACGAAAGACACAGTCAAAGAAACCACTACAGCAAGAAACAATAGAAATCTTTCAGAAGAACAAAATATGGAAGATGGAGAATGACTTTTACGAGTTTGCAAAAAAGGTTTTCTATGCGGAAAGAAGACGAACTTTACTGCAGAAGAAACAAAACCAAGTTTATTCGCCTACGCAGTTCTTTTATGAGAAAATCAGACCGAAATAGTTCGACAAATATAGTTAGTTATCCTGGCCAACGTAGTTAGATATCAAATTGCAGACGTTAACTTTAACTTTGAAAAGTTATTGTCCATGGTTTGTTGTCCATATCGAAATACATTAATCACTTCCCCGGCGTCTTTAGCAAGTGCAGGCCTATAGTGCAGTCACAGTTCAAAGAACAGTCTCTGGATTATATCTTTCCATCTGAAGTTCGTTTGAGACCATTTTATAATTGAAACACACTTCTTCCAGTTAATTTACCGAGAAAACATTTCGTACAAGACCGATTTGTAATGGTCTTTAGTACGCATGCGCTTGCTATTGTATTGTTCAATAGATCGTGGACAATGAGTTTCAAAATAACTGTACTCTACATATCACAAACAATCATCATTATCATCATCATATTTAAATATATCTTATAGTGTAGCACTATACTAGCTATGCTCGCGAACGCAAAGTTCATATATCTCCGGATAACTGGCAATGGACGGGAATTATCGACTTGTCACGCAACTTTCCTCGCGCAACGCGGCTCTTTGTTGAGAGAGTGTTGCGTGATGAGCTTTGTAAAGAAATGTATAAATGTCAATATTTACCGATGGCTCGTCCTTAAAATGATATATTTTTATAATCACATTGTATAAAATTCAATTTAAGATGTCATTTATGTGGAATTGTATCTTTAAGCTTATGCAAGTGTCAAACGCGATTTGATTTTGATACGAAAGGGATATGTCTTAGTAACGTTCTGATTGGCTCCATAACCTCTGATTAATGGTGATAGCACAAACATTTTTCTGCTCTTTTCGAATCAATGTGTTGATTAACACGAAAATAATCGCAAAATTGAAATCCTGAGCCTCAATGGAATCGGACACACACGGCTTTAATGGCTTGCAGGTCTTCGGTTCGATTCCAGTATGACAAGATATAATCTTCATTTTAAATGAAAACTGGTGGTTAAATACTGGGGTGTAAATTGTGTAAAATAAAATTAAAATACTTTTATACGATGCCTAAAAAATAACAATAAATGTATAAATTGTGGAATCCTTTAGTTTGTTTTCTATTGAGATGTTCATATAACATAGCCGCCATCTTGATTAATTTTATTGACTGAAAAAAGCTTGAGTACAGGACCAGTTAACTAATATACTTTACACGTGATGTGATTCAATTTCGTACATAAATGTACATTATAAATGTCAAAAAATATCTAATAGCTAAAAACAAATGGGGTGACCTACGTAGCACGCAGTTGATGTAATGTATTCATAAAATGTATTGTATTCCATTGTTTCTCGTTCTATTGTATTATGTGTTTTGTATTATATCTTTATGAATATATTACATCAACTGAGTGCTACGTAGATTCTCCCAAAAATAAATGTGTCCGCCATCTTGAATTGGTGTTATGTCCACCAGCAATGGCGTCTGCTACTACGTCACTTTCAGTCACGTGATTGCAAACGAATAGTAGTTATACAGTAATAGGAAATTGAGATTTTTTTAACAATATTTAATACAAATTTTATTTAGATCACCTATTAAATACAATTACTCGAAAGTATACCCATAGGGACGTATGAATAGGAAATATTTTTAACTTTTTAGTTTACTTGAATTTGATTGATACCTATTTTTTATATCTATTAGCGAGATCGCTGGCGATAAATTATTTCTTAAAAAAACTAATCTGTTTTTTTTTTGTAATGGGGTTAACTATGTTATTTAGAAATTCTTGTCCGATTTATTATTAAAATTACTAAACGTTGTATTCCACTTTAAACAGCGACCTTGCTGGATTGGGCAAAGATTACTTAATCCAAGATGGCCGCTGTCTTTATCAGTATTAGTAAAGTCACACGTCGCAGCCCGTCCTAGTCCAGGGTCTGTGAGAGAAGACAGAAAGAGCAGGGGACGCAGGTTACCAAACCATGTCTCTAGATGACTACAACATTTTTCCTTGTATTCTTGGTGGCAGAATACTTGTTTTACTCGTTTTGAAATTCACCATTTAAGGCTCGTAAACTCATGCTCTTGCTTCTTTGATCTTTTTCACAAACCACTGAAAAAAATATACACATTAAGAGTTATTAATGGAAGGGCTTGCTTGTTAAATTTTTAAATAGTTTGGTCAGGTGAACTCCCATTTAGACGGACAGTTACCTCGTCTGCGCAATTAGTAAATTGTCATCATTGAGAACATGATCTACATTATATGCTWACCTGCGCTATTTGCGGGCTTGGTGTAGTTATGGCTCTTGTYTCAGATCGTTTAAACAACACACGTCCTTTGTCCTGTAGAAAAACAAAATTATAACTACACAATACATATATATATTTTTTATTCTTTTTTTTATTCTTTTTAAAAGTCCTTTCTCCGTGTTCACCGATAAACCATGGAAAGCCATCTTAATTTCACCGTATTGATTTTAAAATATCTTCCCCTTAACGTTATTAACTTACCATATTTATTTATTTTTAATTACTATACTAGAATTTGAAGTTTGAGTACTCAAACGAAATGCCGCYTCCGAACTGGGAGAGTAAGGATAGCGGCTTATCTTTTGTCCAAGTAAACTACGTTTCAAGTATGCTAAGAGCCTTATTTAACAGTTGCTTGGAGCAATTTTAACATGTACAGTATTTAACGTGAAAGAACTTAGCTAGAAACGTTCGTCGTTTAGTCAAGAAGGCCGCCATCTTGAATTTTCGCTTTAACTAATAATTAACCGATGGCTTGTCTACTATTAGAGTATCACCTCAAATACGGCAAAGCTTCGTCGACTATCATTTCACATAAATATCTAGATTTCGTGGAATGCTTTAGAAATTGAGT